GTGCCGAAGCGCCCAAAATTCGACCCCACTCGTACCGAAAGATACCGAGACTCAGTATAGTAGCCCATACACGCTGATATAAAGACCAAAAGACGACTTAGAGCTAACGAGATTGGTATCAACTACCTTCAGTCACTTGCCAAGATAACCGCCGAAGCTACCACAAGAACTGCAATACACCCCTCATCTTAAGATAGTTGACGATTCAAAGTTCCAGCATTACCGCCCCAACTCTACGGCGCCAAAAATAAAGAGAGTTCTAGCTCTCGGGACTACACATAACGCTCAGAACCAATATTATTCGTGCATATGAAACGAAGATAATACCTAGCTCCCTTCGAAGCGCCTGGCAAGGTCACTCTCTTCTGCCACTTACCATGTCCAAGGGAAAATTTAGGGGATTGCTCGGTGCCATACATTGCAAATAGTGACTTATATTACATTACATACCTACAGACTATTCATGATCCTGCTTATCACAATACTCAGCCTATCAGCCAAAGCTCTCTTTGTTTTCCGCTCTGTGATAGCCCTTAGTAGGATTACATCCCTTCGACGAAGTAAAACAGTCTAGATATTATAGTGGCGATCATTATCCATGTTTATTAGGAGTAATGCTGGTATTTCAAAAGCTCATCGATACCTACGAAGAAGCAGAAAGACAAGGTTTATTTCAAATTCAGGGCTTTTTGGAAGACCCATATATGGGATGTCTGCCCAGGGACTCGCTTTCTGTTTTCGCCACTGCCACCTCCCCCTCATTCCCGGCACCCATCAACCATCACCTGTTCACCATCTTTCTTCCAGTCCTCATACGTCCGATACAAGTATTCCTGGGCCGCCGGATGGTTACGATAGTATGTCTCATGATTGATCTCACAGACACCGTCCTCCTTCCCTTTGTGGTCGACGCAGAAAGCCCGATTGCATAGAAGACATAGCTGAGTTGGGAGGTTGTCTTTAAGGTATGGTTTCCTCAATCGCATTCTATTATGGACGTGGCAGGGTCCAACACAGGGAATTTGGTTCTAGGGAGTTGGTTAGCCTACTGAATCAAGATAGAGGTTAGAGCGAGGTGGAGAAACGGACCATTGTGTAATGTTCAATGGGATTGTGTTGATGGATTTTGAAGGTAGGGTCTCGAAGGAGCGAGCAATGGAAGATAGAAAATAGGAATGGAAAGGGGATTGCGTGATATTTGATTAGGCGGGGACAATGAAAGCTGTTTGGGTAGACAAAAATTGGGCGCTGTTGCACTGTATGAGCTCGTACCGGGCTGCAGATCTTGGCATTGTACTAGTTCGCCAGCAATCCATTCTTCCTAACGAAATGAAAATGACTCATTTGTTACTGCCAGGCGATTCCTGAAACGAACGAATGGCGAGAAAGGGCTCTAGCATGACTGGAGTGATGCTACGGGGTCGTCCACCTGTGATAGGCGGTGATTTAATGCTGCCCAACATTCGTATGTCGGAAGAGATTCTCAGGATGGTACTCCTGTCGTAGCTAGCAGCCTGTGCCATCATTGATATAGATAGTTCCCCACTGTGGATCATGTCATAGATAAGCTCATGCTTTGAAGGGGCTAGATTTGGCGCCTTCTTGGTTCGGTCACTGGTGATTGATTCTTAAGATACGCAACCTTCTATAGAGGTGGGGGTATGGAGTTGGAGGATGAATTGAATATACAAGCGAATACACTCTTGAAAATACCATGTAATCTACGCTGGTCACGAGGCGCAAGGGTAGCCACAAGCTGTCTTGGACGCTACATGAATTCTTCAACGTTCTGCTTCCACGAAAATTTGAGCTAGAATATGTGGTAATATAGAAAGTCTGATTATAGTAAACCATTCTGTCGATATCTGAAGCTCATTCCGCCGATTCCACCCGTCCCTTCAGCACCATCGCAGCTTCTCAGAATCAACCAAATCCGCATACATGATATCCAGTGCTGCGCTACCTATTAAGAGGTTGTTGTCATTTCGTAGGAAGACGGGCAGAGGACTATATTAGCAATTAGTTTTAGTTTTTGACAGTATCGAAGAGGAGACAACTTTATTGAGACCCTGGGACTTGTGCATTACATTGGGAGCAGGTGAATGGAAATGGCTAAGTGATATGATTGTATCTGCACTTTGGGTAATTCATTTTCGCGAGTAAGATAGCTTTGTCGATGGCTTTATGATCTGATGACGTCTGCCAGGTTATGATTATGTTGTAAGATGAGAGAAATGCGAGTGCCAATGATGCTAACTTATAGAAGATTGATACGGGGTAAGAAACATATAAGCCTCAATCTGGAGGATTGTCGGGCTCAAGGACGGTATCCGGGGCATTACAATAGCGGAGGCGAAGGAGGTCACAGGAAACGGATGGCGGAGGCTAGGAGCTCCGGGGAGCGCGATCGAGCTAGTTTCGTGACATACAACTCCTGTCACTCTCTTGGAGAGGGGATATAGGAGAGAAGACAAACAACTGAAAGCTACATCATCCCAGGACGCTTGTCCCTAAGCGGCTAAATCGCGTCGCAGCCCGCGCTGGCTGCACCAGCCTAGGCGGCGGATCGAGCGGCATCGCCGGTGAAATGAAAGGGGCAGTGCATCCGGCTGAAAGTCAATGCGTCGAAGGTCAGTGGGGACGAGAAGAAAGGAGTCCGGGTGGGCAAGGAGTGAAAGTGCGTGGGAGATTTGAGAAGAGGGCAAGTGGTCTTTTATAGAGGTACCAACGGACGGTCGGGGGCGGCGAAAAAACGGTGCAATTGGAGCGGTTTGTGGCCCCCCGCTTGCCGTCCTGTAGTACAGTTCTACCGCAAAAGTTTCCGTACGACCCGCACCCCATCAAATATATATCTCCCATTTTTGATTTTAGCAAATCGAACCTGCTAACTTCAATTAAATACTATACCCCCAATTTATATAGTAAAATTATATAAAAATATATATTAGATAGGCAATTGGACATAGTATTTAATTTATATTTTTAATATTTAGTATACCACCCATTTGCCTCAATTACTGCCTCAACCCTGCGCCCCATGCTCGAAATCAACCCATCAAAGTAATCCTGGCCTAGCATCGCCCATGCAGCATGAATTAACTCTTCGAAATGATGAATCAGATCTTCTTTGGGACCTTCAAATTTATCAAGGTCCGGATCAAGGCGGTCGATCATTTCTTTAAGTTTTGCCCATACATGTTCAATAGGGTTCAAATCAGGTGAGTACGGCGGCCACACCATCGTCTCAATTCTATTCTCCCACAACCAATCACGAATAATATGCGCAGTATGGATTGGAGCATTATCGTGCATAAAGATTCGCGTCGAATCTATACAAATTTGGGGTAAATTCTCCTCGAGAACCTCGCGATACGAGAACCTTGAGTATCCGTTGCGTGCTGACTCCGAGTCACGATTCATTTGGAATAAATCGGAGTAACCACCACCGAATATTGCTCCCTAAATCATAATTGAGATATTTTTCGACTTCGAGTATATGGTAATATGTTCTTTTTTCCATTTTTTATTTCGGTGGTTGATAAAAAAGACCTAACGGTAACGCTTCCCTTTCCCGATTTTAATAGAGCATTCATCGGACTAAACAATCTTCTTCTAGTCATCCTACGTCCAATTTCGTCGCTCTAAAGCCTAATTAAGGCGTAGCTCGGCGTGTTCCGGTTTTAAATATAGTCTTTTTTTCGCTTTCCAATGTCCGTAGCCCGAGGCTTTGACCATTCGAAGAAGGGTATCGTCGGAAGCAGTTAAGCCACTTTGTTCGCGGATTTCTTGATAGGTAATAAAGGGATCGTTTCGAATCAATCGAATAACCATAGAACGGTCATCTGCTGATAAAATCGAGGGGCGACCGACGCGGTTTTGATTATTGCCTTCGTGTCGGAGAGGTTCTTTCTCGAGGGTATACTGAATTGTGGATTTGGATAAACTGAAGTGCTGGGCAATTTTCGCGATTGACAGGCCTAGCTGGGCTTGACCAAAGATCTGACCCCGGAGATAGGGAGATAGCTCATTTCCCTTTATCCTATTAGAATTAATAGGACGTAGAGGGGTCCTGGGAACCATGGTGAATTTTTAAAAACCATGGGTTGGGAGAAGACGCGGGTCAAAAATGTAATTATTCGCGAAAAACGCGGGTGTGGACCCCCGACCGTACGGAAACTTTTGCGGAGGGACTGTATACTAGTTTTCTCCTTATATCACGCCTAAAAAAGTCAAAAAACGCGTTCATTTAGAAATTTTAAAAATTAGACGACCAGTAGAAGGTCGTAATACAGCGATTACAGAGGCCGATTTATGAGCGCCGAGATGGGCTTTAATGGGCTGTGGGCTGGGTTGGGCTTCGAAGCTTAAGCCCATAGCCCACTGCTGGGTGGGCTTTGGGCCCGGGGTTCGGGCCCATTTATGGGCTTTGCGGAGGTCTATGGCAGCAACCCTTTTTTACTATTGATGATGAGTGGTACTAGGGAGGAATCCCAGTAATATATGACTATCAAATTACTTTACATACCCAGGCTCTGACAAAAATTCTTTTCCAATCAACTACCTACATCGCATTACATGCTTTCAACCATTCAACGAAACCAGGCCAAATCCAGGCAGGGACAGTCTTATTAATGATCCCCTATATTAATCTTCGAAGGCTGGACATACAAAGATTGCCTCTCCAGGGCACGTCTATACTTCGAGAGGCCTTTTTAGCGTAAGGTTTGGCATAAGACTTCGGCTGACACTTCGTATTCAACGTCAAATCCCCGAGTCAATGCAACATGTTTGTTAGTCTTACTACTCCTCCAGGGCAGTCGGTTTTCCTTCCTACCTCAGGTTTCCACTCAATGCCGAGATCACCAACTTATTCCCACACCTGAGATGCTTATATCCCTATCTTATGCAGCATAAAGAATATCTCGGCGTTATCATAACTCATGATTATCCTTGTGTAAATGAATGTTTATGTGATTGGCTATGAGGCATGGCCATTATATCTACAACACAGGGTTAGGCGGGCAGATCATAGCACATGCCAGCAGCATGCGTGTCAGGGGCAGCAACGAAGCCAGGTCTACTTGACCTTTTGCGACTGCCTCTAGGAGCTGGCCAAGTGTTCTTGGGTTATAGCTCTGATGAGTTTCCGGGGATCCAGAAGGGCTCGGGGGCCCCAATGTCTGCGCGCGAGCAAAGAACCATTCCTCAGAACTGCATGAGCGCCACATGCGCTCCGGGGCTGGGAGTGGGATGCTAAGAATAAGGCTGTCTCCGAGTGGCTCAAAGTAATACCCATCAAGCTTTCCTAACTTTGATTCCAAAACGTTGATTATGTGGACAAAGAAGAAATTCCGGCGGAAGGATTCCATAAACTTCCATTGGCCCCAGTCGTTTTCATCCTCGTGGTGGATGTGGAGGGTCTCCGCGTGGATGGTGGATAGTCGCCGGGTCATCTTTGAGATTATTTATTAGTCGAGGATGGGGTTCACCTAGAAATTCTATCCATGACTCACCTTCAAGAGAAGTGAACTATGGAGATTGGCTGTCTTCTCATATTGTTCGCGTGAGTTCTCGTAATCCCCGTTGCGGAATGGTTGATTGATAGCAGCGGGAAGGAAGCTGTCACCAAAAAGGCCGAGAATTTGATAGATACAGGCAGCATGCAGAGCAGCCAGACAGGGCTCGGGGGCGTCAGTGTCAGCGTAAAAATACTGTATCAACTTGTCCCGCTCCTGGTTAATCATGCAGTCAACAGATTGAGAATTTATGCCGGTAGGACTTGCATAAGCTCCAATGCAAGCCAATGCGTTTGACATGGGCTCAGCCATTTCACCTAAAGAACAGCGGTATAACTGGCAGTGCACAAAGGGGGAATAGAACTCGAGATCAAGGATGAGACAAGTATATTCACGAAGATGTTCAAGAATCTCCCAACATAGATTGCTTATGTCCCTGCGAACGTGACCCCCACTCCAATGATGAAAGATTGCCCGAAGATGAGGCGGGCGAGGCTGACGGTGTGACTGTCTAGATTCATTGGAATCAAACTGTCCGCTTCCGTGGATTCTTCTGCCCACGTCAATTCTAAGAGGGGTGATGAATGCGACAGCCCTGTTGACTTGGATATGCTAAGTCCAGGTTGCGCAATATATTTGTCCTTTTGGCTGAATTGGGATTCTCTCGACCGAAGAAAGCCGGTAGAGAAATGCTGATCGGTCAGCTGTGAGAAGCGTTGTAACGACCCTATGGGGCTGGAAGGATCGCTTTCGTTAGGCTGGAAGCTAGAGAGATCATCGAGTCCATCATCCCATGGTAAACTCTCAGCTACTATCGGATTTAGGGGAGACACGAAGTTGCCCGTGAAATCATGATCTTTCAAGTTGATGTTCGATGGATCACTGCCATTCCAGAACGCGGTGGGTAGCGCACCACTATGTTCCTCTTTGGTGGCGAACGGCGCTTGTGTGTCGTCCCCATATGATTGTTCGTTTTGCTGGATATCTGGAAGCGCATTAATTGCGTCGACGGCGGTGATTTGACCTGCCATCATCTGCATTCTCGCAGAATGAATTGAGCTCCGTGACTGCTCCGCATTTAATGAGTTTTCATCGTCAGGATACGTTCTCTTCGCCAAATTCCGACTAGCGTAAGGGTATTGACATGAAATCTTCAACTGGGAGCACCGGGTACAAGAAGGTTGATCTTGTGTACAGCGAACCTTCTTTTGGGCGCAGGTATCGCAAGATCTTCGCTTGGACCTGCGTTCTTGACCCACCTTGGCCATACATCGACGCCGGTGTCGATCCCGTAGATCATCTGGCGGAGTCAGCTCAACAATTCTGCTATGCAACTCAATTATCAAGGATGTGGTTTCCACGCAGAGATCTTACGCCGTGTGCAAGTCTTGTTGCAAATTTCACAACGAAGATTTTTATTGGCGCTCGGCCCCTGTGAGGATGAAATGGACTTAGCACTCGTTCCGACCGTCGATATCCCGCTGTCGGACGAAGCTTTTATGCGCGTATTGTTCATTTCGTCGTTGAGTTGGCTCCGGTGGACTCAGGCTATGCATTCATGAAAATCAGCTTCAAAACTTCATCTCTCGTAATCTCAACAATTTCTTGGACCCCACAAAAGTTCGGATGAAGTACTTACGTGGAGGACCATGAACAGGCCCGTACTGCGATTCGAAGTCGATATCCCTTGGTTCAATTCGGACAATGTTCCAGCTGCGAAGAGCATCTCTCGACGATGTGGCGGCTTTGAAAGACTGCATGTGAAGAAGGGGGGAAGAAAATCCACCAGGAAGAGACTAGCCGCATTTCCGTGAATATAGCGTTCCATCGTGCTGACGCCCAGACGTGACTTAGGGCGAGGGGCAGACTTGTGAAGGCATGGCCCTGGTCATTGACAAACCCATGGGGGCAAGGCAAAATAAGTTCTCGCCTTTTCCACTTGGCCCCCACAAGCACAATATCGATCAGGATAGTCTCTGAACTTCGTTTTGTCCCCAACAAAGGCATGTAGCTCTCTGATTTGGCACATACTGATTTTGAATTTCCATTCCTTTGGGGCCACTTTGTTGAAGGGAAAGCTGCTATCTCAACAGCAAACAACTCGCTGCGTGACATCCGTGCACCTTGCGTTAAGCTAGCCAGTCCCTCTTATCTCCTCATCAAGAGTCGTGGGAATTGGGCGTAAATTCAAGTGGCTGAAACAGCATGCAGGATCTATCTCAAGCCCGGATGATTGGATCTGGGAGCGGCCTATGGAAATATAGTGTGAAGTCGCCATCCACAGCTTGCAAATAAGCTCACAAATCAATCAAGTACTCCGTATCCAGCCCCGAGTAACGGACTGACTGTAGCCTTTTCTTCTGTTTCCTTGAATATTCTCGAGCAGCCGAGATAATAACAGCGTAGGCCAATTTCTACTAGAGCAGGTACCCCCAATCTGGGGATCTCCAATCCAGAATTGTCAACTTGTTGATCTGGGACGCTTGAGATATTGACTCTCCGAAATTCATTTATGGCGTTCACTGAGCGATGCCAAAATCTTGTAACCTGGGAGTCTGCATAAAAGGGATTCGGAGAGAAATATGAAACAGGCCCAGGCTTGCATCCAAGCTCTGTGGCTTCTTAGGAAGAAGTCGGATATATCGCGGGAAATTGCTGCGACGCTTTCACTCGCAATTAGGCAAATTGCGGAGGGAGGTTATTGGATATATGTAGCTTTTGCGAGTCTCCGGTCAACTTGACATTCACCGATCCACTTAGATCTCTCTATCTGTAGCGAGGAGCCAGGGGAATTGGCTTTGAGTCCAATTGATAAAAAATAACTCATATGCCCTTTACCAGTCCCTGCTGGAAGCTATCTTTCAATTGAGGTATTGGTATGTCCAGATATCAGCTGCAAGCTCGTCCATATCTGTTGCCGTCAGAACAAAATCGCTCTCCCCGGCTCTCTTAGGCCGTAGAAAGACAGCAGAGAAATTTATCTCTAGCTGGCCATTGACACGAGGACGGCCTGGACGGGGGTTGCGGAGAATTTCAATTCTTTGGCTGGGCGCTGGAGGCTTGTTATGGCGCCTTTCCCAGCTCTCCACTATTATCTTCCTTCGGAGGATACTAATGGTGATGGCAACATTCACATCACTGTTTGGATCGTCCAGCCAGAACTCGATGTCTTTTTGAAGCTTGGTGCGAGGTTCCGACCACGCAACCTCGCCAACGAGAGTGGGCCACTTATGCGATCGGCCATTTGGCATGTCTCTTGGGCTCCAAGAGATATCAGACTGTTTGCTTCGGGTCTGCCCGCGGACATTGCTTGCATTTATCGAGAGGAGATGGGGCTCGGCCACTCTTCTGGCCCAGGCAGAGAAGATGTTATTAAACGTTCCGACGGCAACGGCATGGGGTCGGGACTGCATTCTCAACAGAGCAGATTGAAAGACATGATCGTAGATGTCCCATGATAGCGTCAGTAGATTATCCTCCGAATTGACAAAACACTCACGGAAGGAGCGTTCGTCAATATCCATAATGAAATACGGGCTATAGGTGCATCCGAGCGCATCTTCCTCACGTTCCAATCTGTCACACTCTTGGTTAAGGATCTCAAGGCATTGATCGTACCTCTCATATCTGTATCTCCGTGTAGTTAGAGGAAGAAGATCTCGAAAGGACATCATTTTCGCAGTTGAAGAGGTAAAAATTCCCAATAACCTTAAGCTTACCTTATATTGTTCTATGATTAGTTATGACGATAACCACGTCCCTAATATACTAATATGGCCGCACCTTCGTGCGTTAAAAGGGCTGCATGGAGCGGCGAGCCGTCCATGCGCAAACCGTGGGTAGTTTGCCCCATACTACCTCTTAAGGTTTACAGTGATGACTTTAACTAGTGTAAAATCAAATACATACGACCATAGGGTGTGGAAAACAGGGCTTCCCGTCCGCTCAGCCGTACTTAAGCCACACGCCGGTGAGTTAGTAGTTGGGTGGGTGACCACCAGCGAATCCTCACTGTTGTATGTTTCTTGTTTTTTAATTCTGACATCGAGGCTACTACATGGTTTAGATCCAGCTCACTAGATAGCTTTCTCTACAGTTCATCTTATCCTCCTCTAACCGTAATTACTTTAGCTTAGACCTCCGCAATGGGCCTGGTTAGGCCCGAACCTTAGGCCCATAGCCCAACCAGCAGTAGGCTATGGGCCCTACCTTCGAGGCCCAACTAAGCCTATAGCCCATTATGGGGGCCTATAAGGCCCCCATTAAAGCCCATTTGTATATATAAATATTGTCTTAGCGCCTATAAACCTACTAATTAATGTCTATTTATATATATATATAAGTAGTCTTAACGCCGCGCGAAGCGCGGCGGAGAGACTGCGAGTCAGCCAGGCACTCCATAGGGAGAAGTACCTATTAGCTTGTCTTTATAAAAAAAAATTGAATATGGATAACAGTACCTTAAGGGAGAAGTTTAAGTAGTATACATAAGGATTCCTTATAATATCACTAAATGTCTAAAAATAACTATACTAAGTAACACAAAAAAATGGGTTAATTAGGTAAGAGTACTATACCTTTTACTAACCTTGTCTTAGGACTACTGAGTCACGTAAGCTCGCTTTCGGGTGTGTTCCGACGGCGAGCTAGTAGACTTAGTAGTTAGCGAACTAGCTAGTTAAGTATCTATATATAATAGAAACCCGTTAGTTATTATCCTCCTCGCTATCGTCGTCGGACTTAGAATTAGAATTAGAGTCCCCTAGGGTAAGGGGCGGGCGGCGGGCGGAAGGTATAGGGGGCTTACGTCTTTAGTCGGAAGTCTCGGCGGTATCGCGTTTCCTCTTAGTAGTAGCCTCTCTCTAGCGGGCCTTTCGGCTTATAGACGGTATAGGATCGTTAGACGTAGAAGGCTTACTATTAGTAGGGGTAGTGGCACGATCGTTCCGGGGAGGATAGCCTAAGGAATAGTAGTGTGAAATTAGTATATTTTAGGTTAAGATTAAAGTTTTAAGGAGAAGTCTATACCTAGGTTAGTCTACTTAAGGGCCTATTTAGGGGTAGACTCTTCCTACGGGAGAGGAGCGAACTAGGAACCTAACTAAAGGGCCTATATAAGTATAGAGGGCTACTCGACGACTATTCTATAGGGTACGGGCTAGGAAGTAAGTTATAGTATAATAGTATACTATAGGGGTTACTAAACTATATTAAGACTATACTATATATACTATATAGGCTAATAGTTAAACTAGGGGGCTAATATATACTAAGTAGGCTAAGATAGCGGAAGCGGGCGTATAACTATAGGTAAAGATAGCTATAGTATAGGACGGTTTAGTCGGTTTCGGCGAGGGGTAATAGCACTATTAGTAGTACGATAAACGCTTACCGCCGCACTACTAGAGTCGGGGGGCGTACGGAGATAGGTAATATTAGATAGCTCTAAGTATATAATTATACGCCCCTTAAAGGGGTAGAAGCTAATAAACGTGCCCGAAATAAACGCCTATTAGTTTTACTAAGGAGGCTAAGTACGTTCCTAATAAATTATAGAAGGAATATCTACTATTATATTAAAAGAGACGTAGGCCTTATCGGGTATTCTAGTATAGATATTTATACGTAAGATAAATAACCGATAGCTAAGAGGATTAGTATACTAGCTAGCGCTATAGGTAATAATAGATACCGGGGGCGTAGTAGCTTAGGGGATATTACCGAAGTACGTCGGGGTAGTTAGATTACCGGGGAATAGGCGAATAGAGATAGCGCGAATAGATATAACGGGTCGGGTGCTATCCGGCTACTAGTTAATAAATATAGAGCCGGAGACGATAACCACTTAGTTAAGTAGGAGATTTATAGAGCTATCGGAGTAGAAATATATATTAACTATCACCTCCTTAGGTATATCTAAGGATTATAGATACTCGTAGCTTAGGGGGTCGTAATAAGCGGGGAATATAAGCTTAGTATCGCTATTTTAGCCTAGTTATAGGACTAGAGTATTAGTAACTATAACGATAGTAGTAATATCTATATAGGTGTTTTCAGCCTATAATTACGATATAATAAGGATAGGTAGGTAAAGTAAGTACGTAGAGTAGAGAAGATAATAGGGAAGAAATAAAAGTAGATTAGGAGAGTGAAGATATATATAATAGTAAACGGGGGAGAAAAAAGTATATAGGCCGAGGATAAACCGCGGTAATTAAGCTTACCGAGGGTAGATCGCGTATATACCGCGTATAGGCCGTAATCTCCGCGGAGAGGGGCGTAGTAATCCCACGCTTACCGAGAGTAGACCGTAATATCCGTATAAAGACCGTAATAAGCGAGGGTAGGGTAGTAACCTCGTATATACCGAGAGTATACCGAAATTTCTATAGGTAGGCCCCGACGTCTAGCTAAACTACCTAGAAGATTAGTAATATATAATAGTTATAGAGATAGATAGAGTAGAGTATATACTAATTAATATTAATATATAGAGTATAGGTATAGATTTTAGGGGTTAGGCGTATCCCCCCTATCCTTATATTAAGGCGGAAAGGCCTATAAGACCTTAGGATAGATAATATTATCTACTTTCGCTATAGTATTATACTCTACTAGAAGTATATTAATATTACGGGTATTAGTAGTATAAGAGAATACGACGTAGAGCTAGCTATACGTGAAAACCTAACCCCGAAGGTTAATCCCTATATAGGATAGAGACTAACCTTATACCTTATTAATTAATATTACGAATACTAAATAAATAGGGAATTAGCGCCTTATTAGTGTAAACGAAGGTAACTCGCTAGGATTACTAGATAATAAATATAGGAAAATCGTGCGAAAGGGTAAGCGAGTATATTTAGGGTTATTAAGCCTAACCTCTAGGTAATAACTCTTAATCGTAACGATTATATACCTAGCACTATTATATAGGCTATCCTAATAGCTAATATTCCGTAGAATAATTATAGGAGCACCTACCTTTAGGTAAAGATAGGCGAGTAGTAGTCTACTAACGTTAATACTATTTAACTACTCGGGTGTAGTATCCCCGGAATTAATAAAGGTATCTTACTTATTAGAGGTAATAGAGTCGTCGGTATATATTACCTATATAGTTCCCGGAAGGCGCTTAAGTAATATATTATTTAGATTATATATATATTTATTCCGGGGGGTTAGAATAGTACGTCTAGTGAAAAACTCCGGGTGTTTAGGGGCTACCTATAGGCGGGTAGATAGATAAACCGACTTAAGGAAATATAATAGATTCGAAGAATACTATATACCTAGAGGTAGGTCGATAGAACTATAATAGCGGTTATTATACGATATAACCTCTAACTATCGAGCGAGGGCGCGGTTTATCTTATTAGTACTTAAGAGCCGTATATTCTCCCGAAGGTAAAGAGGCTTAAAAAGCTTCTAAATATTAGCTAACTATAGATAGGCTTTAATTATATTAGTACGATTACCCCGAGGGATAATAGGTAGAATTTATTAGAAATTACCGCCGAGAATAATAGGTATACCTCTAAACGGCTTATTCCTACCGGGTAACTTAGTATAAATATCGCGGAGATTACGATCTACGATATCGAAGTGCTCGCGGTTTATTATAGGTATCTTATCCTAAATAATTAGGCTTACCTTCTCTATAAGGCGGGTAGTATACGTATTCCGATAAATATTACCGACCTTACCCGCTTCGGGGTCTAATAGGAGTATAAATCTCTTATATATAGTATAGCCGCTAGGGAGTAGTAAGGTAGTGATACCTATAGAAGTAACGTATAGGACGATTTTCCCCTTAGCCCGAAGGGTCGTAGCTAGAGTCTAGTATATAAAGGTCTTCCCGGTCCCGCTAGGCCTATAGAGGAAAAAGAAGGTATTATATAGGTATACCTCTATCTAGTATATAATAGTATTAAACGCCGTACGTTAATCTTTATTAAGTTTAGCCTAAAAATTAGTAGTAAGGCGCCCTTATTCAGCTATCTCGTCCCTAGAGTAGGACTCCTAGTTAATTAGGGGATTAGTTAGGTAGTTAGCCTAATAGTAGGTTAGCTCTAGTAAGTAATACTATTTTAAAGTTCGACCTTCGGTATATAGTTCGTACCCTATTAAATAAAGCCTAAAGTCGATATACGGGTTAATTATATCCCTAGGATAGAGATAATAATTATTTATCTTCTTTAAAATATTATTATATATAGGATCGTAAAATTTAGCCTAGATTAGTAGTATATTACTAATATCGCCGTTAAGTAAAAGAGACACTAAGAGACGGCGTAGTTCCTAGCCTATACGAATAGTAATAGCCTTACGGAAGTAATATAGCTATTCCCTATCTTAGTGTATTAGCCGGCGACTAAGATAGGCGTTACGGAAGGTTTTAAAAAGGGTAAACTCTATAGGGACGCTAATCTTAGAGCTATTAATTATATCTCGAATAACTAATTGAAACTTAGCGTCGATAATATCACCTTCTCGGGTAGGAACTAACCGAAGGTCTTCGTAGTATATTAGGCTCTTAACTACGGTAAGTAGACTCCGGAGGAAGTAGGCTTCACCTTAGTTAGGGCTAATTAAGTAAAGGCGCCTAATCTTTCGCTTCCCCTATAAGTTTATCGGCTTCTAACGTATAGGCTTAGATTTATACTAAAGT